TCATCTACTGAGGGGCATCTGGGCTGGTTCCATATCTTAACTATAGTAAATAATGCAGCAATAAACATAGTCGTGCTCCTAGCTTTAGTGTGGTCTTGTTTGTGAACATTTGGGTAAATGCCCAAAAGTGGGATTGCTGGGTCATAGGGGAGCTCTATGTGGAGTCTTTTGAGGAACATCCATACTGCTTTCCAAAGTGGTTGAACAAGTTTATACTCCCACCAACAATGCAGTAAGGTTCCCTTTTGTCCACATCCCCTCCAGCATCTGTTGTTATTAGAGTTCTTGATTTTAGCCATTCTAACTGGGGTGAGGTGGTATCTCAATGTTGTTTTGATTTGCATTTCTTTTATGGCTAGGGAGGTTGAGCATTTCTTCATGTGTCTATTGGCTATCCTTCTTTCCTCTTCAGAGAAGTGTCTCTTTAAGTCTTTAGCCCACTTATTTATTGGGAAGTTTTTTGTTTGAAGATTTGTTGTTGGGGAATTTAATTTTTTGAGTTCCAGGTATATTTTAGATATGAGACCCTTGTCTGTTGTATGGCTAGTGAAGATCTTCTCCCAATCCATGGGCTTTCTATTGATCTTTCTAGCTATGTCCTTTGCCATGCAGAAGCTCTGCAATTTCATGCAGTCCCATTTGTCCAACCTTTCTTTGATTTATTGTGTTTCTGGGTCTCTATTAAATAAATTTCAGCCTGTGTCAAGGAGACCTAGGGTTTCTCCTATTCTATCCTGTAATATTTTCAGAGTGTCTGCTTTGACTCCGAGGTCTTTGACCCATTTGGAGTTGATTCTGGTGCAAGTGATATATAAGGATCTAGCTTTAGTTTTCTACAATAAGTTAACCAGTTTTGCCAGCACCATTTAGTGAAGAGGCTGTCTTTCTTCCATTCTATTTTTTTTTTAGCTCCCTTATTGAAGATTAGATGGCTATAGGTCTGTAGGTTCATTTCTGGGTTTTCAGTTCTATTCCATTGGTCCTGAGGTCTGTTCTTGTGCCAATACCAAGCTGTTTGGATTACTATGGCTTTACAGTAGAGTTTGAAATTTGGTATTCCTCCAGCACTGTTCTTTCTGTCGAGGGTAGATTTTGCTATATGGGGTCTTTTATTGTTCCATATGAATTTTTGGATTGCCTCTTCTATTTCCTTGAAGAATGAGGTTAGAATTTTGATAGGTATCGCATTGAATTTGTAGATAGCCTTGGGAAGGATTGCCATTTTCACGATGTTGATCTTTCCAATCTAGAAGCATGGGAGTTTTTGCCACTTTCTAAGTTCTGTTTTGATTTCCTTTTTCAAGTTTTTAAAGTTTTCATCATAGAGGTCCTTTACTTCTTTGGTTAAGTTAATTCCTAGGTATTTTATTTTTTGTGGGGCTATTACAAATGGTGTTGCTTTCCTAATTTCACCCACACTATTCTCATTGTTGGCATACAGAAAAGCCATTGATTTTTGTGGGTTAATTTTATACCCTGCTACTTCGCCAAAGTTTTGAATCTGCTTGAGCAATTTGGGAGTGGAATCTGTGGGATTCTTTAAATACAAGATAATGTCATCTGAAACAAGGGAGAGTTTTACTTCGTCTTTCCCTATTTGGATCCCCTTTATGCTTGCATCTTGTCTTATTGCTGTAACTAGGCATTCTAATAGTATATTGAAGAGATGTGGAGAGAGTGGACATCCTTGTCTTGTTCCTGAGTTAAGAGGAAATGGCTTTAGTTTTTCACCATTAAGTATAATGCTGGCTGTAGGTTTGTCATATACAGCCTTTATTGTATTGAGGAATGTTCCATGGATTCCTAATTTTTCTAAAACCTTCATCATAAAGAGGTGTTGGATCTTGCCGAACACTTTTTCTGCATCTATTGAGATAACCATGTGGTTCTTATCCTTGCTCCAGTTGATGTGATCAGTTATATTAATTGATTTGCGTATATTGAGCCAGCTTTGCATCCCTGACATGAATCCTGTTTGATCATGGTATATGAGTTTTTTGGATGAATTGTTGAATTCGATTGGCCAAAATTTTGTTGAGAAGTTTTGCATCAATGTTCATCAAAGAAATGGGTGTATAGTTCTCTTTCTTTGATGAGTCCCTGCCTGGTTTGGGGATGTGGGTTATGATGGCTTCATAGAATGTGTTCGGTAGTGAACTTTCTCTTTCAATTTCATTGAAGTGTTGGAGGAGTATTGGTGTGCACTCTCATTTGAAGGCCTGGTAGAATTCCCCTGTAAAGCCCTCTGGTCCTGGGCTTTTCTTAGATGGGAGGTCTCTTATTGCTGTTTCTATTTCAATGCTTGATATGGGCCTGTTAAGATGGTCTAACTCATCTTGGTTTAGTTTTGGCAGGTCAATATTTGCTAGGAAAAGGTCCATTTCTGCCAAGTTCTCAAACTTATTAGCTAAAGTTTTGAGAAGTATTCCCTTATAATGTTCTGAATCTTGGTTGTTTCTGTGGGGATATTTCCATTCTCATCTCTGAGTTTATTTATTTGGGAGTGTTCTCTTCTTTTTCTGGTAAGATTTGCTAAGGGTCTGTCAATTTTGTTAATTTTTTTGACTAACCAACTCTTTGCTTTGTTGATTCTTTCTATAGTTTTTTGGATTCTAATTCATTTAATTTTGATTTAATTTTAATTATTTCTTTCTGTCTACTGGATTGGGTTTATCTTGCTGCTCTTTTTCAAGGAGGTTCAGATGTCTCATTAAGTTGTTGGTTTCAGATCTCTCCAATTTGTTGATGTAGGAACTCAGAGCTATAAACTTGCCCCTGAGTACTGCCTTTGCTGTGTTCCAGAGGAGCTGGTAATTTGTGTGTTCATTTTTGTTGACTATCATGAGCCTTTGAATTTCCTTTCTAATCTCTTCCATGACCCAATCGTGATTCAGCTGTGTGTTGTTCAGCCTCCATGTTTTACAGGACTTTCTTTGGTGGTTTTTGGTGTTAAGTTCTAATTATATTCCCTTGTGGTCTGAGAGAATGCAAGGTATAACTTCAATGTTTCTGAATTTGGACAAGTTTCCTTTGTGGTGTAAAATGTGATGTATTTCTGAAAATGTTCCATATGCTGCTGAGAAAAAGGTATATTCTGATGTTGCTGGGTGAAATAATCGGTAGATGTCTATTAAATCTAGTTGATGTATGCAGTTGTTTAGATCTGGGGTTTCTCTGTTGAGTTCTTGCCGAGTTGATCTATCTAGTGGGGAAAGTGGTGTGTTAAAGTCCCCAACAATTAATGTCTTTGGATCTATGTGGGATTTAATGGAAAGTAGTGTTTCTTGGATAAATTTGGGTGCTCCATTGTTTGGCGAATAGATATTTAGAATTGTAATATCCTCCTGAAGGAGAGATTCCTTAATTAGTATGTAGAGACCTTCTTTATCTCTTCTCATGAATTTTAATTTGAAGTCCATTTTATCTGATATTAGGATTGCATCTCCCGCCTGTTTATGGGGGCCATTTGCTTTTAGATTTTGTTCCAGCCTTTCACATTGAAAATGTGTTTGTTTTTATGGGCAAGATGTGACTCCTGAAGGCAGCAGATAGAAGGATCTAACTTGACAGTCTACGTTCCTTAATTCGAAAGTTAAGTCTGTTAATGTTGCGAGATAGGACTGAGCGGTATTTGGGAGTTTCTGCCATTTTATCCACCTTCTTGGGGTTCAGCAGTCCTTAAAAGAACTAGGAAGACATAAAACAGGGAAAGGTAACCAGGGCAATGGCATAGGATTAAATACAGTATAGTATGTCTCAAAGTTAAGTAGCAAGGAAAGTCAGGAACTAAATGAGACAAGCATAAATTTTTGTAGCTGATTGATGTATAATTTGGTGTACCATGGAAGAAAAATGACACTTGCACAGTATATGAGAAATGAATTGGGTAATAGGCCCTCTACGCCCTTTGCGTAAGCTTGCTAAGTTGTATTCATTTAAAAGCACAGTTTGTCTTATCTTGATGGAGCACCTCACTATTGCAAAGTTAGTAGAAGTCATTGTTTAAGTTAAATTTCTTAGTTTGATGTAATTTTTCTAATGTCTCTCTGAATCTCATAAATTTTTGTTGTTAGGTTATTGAATATAGTATTTTGTCAAAGGCCATATTTTTCAGCTTTGTAAGGTGTTATTTTACTACAAGACAACATCAGCATCTTTGGCAAAATAAAAAGTGGTATTTACAATATATGTGTTGGATGACTTGGAAAGAACTCTATCCTAATGTCCTATGACATATAAATCTCTTTGTTATGATGATAAGTGTATACTAACTATATTATATCTAAGATGGAGACTAGAAACTTTGTATCATATTGCTGTATAGATAAGCATTAGCAGTAGCCATTTGTGAACTGTTTGGACTGTGGTAAAGAATGTTCAAATGTAATAAGGTATACTAAGGCTTCAAATTAGCCTCAACTCATCAGTTAAAACCAAAAATCAATCTGAGAAAATGACAGCCTAGATTCAAAGGTGGCAAGTTTGATTAGTATACCCACCACAAGAGAATGAAATACTGGCTATTTAACCTGATTTTAAAAGTAGGTTGGGGAAAATATCTACAGAGAGTGGTGTACTTTTTTCCTTATGAGTTCTCAGGAGCTGTGGAAATGCTAATAAACATTTCATCTCTCAGTAGTTTACTTACCTTTGCCATGCTGAGCAAAGACTTAATTCATCATGTACAGTCTTAATTCTATAAGTTGCTATGTTCGATCTTAGTGGTATAGATTTTCCTAGGAAATGTAAGCTTTAAGAGCAGGGGTTAATGCAAAGTGCTGCGAATAGGATCTAAACTGGAAATTGATCACTTATGGCTTTAATGTTGGACTATAACTACACTGGGAAAGTTAATGCAAAATAGCCTTTTATTATTTCATGAAAGTGCATATGCTGTTATGTAAATTATTCCTGGCAATTAAAATGTCATTAGGAAATGTAGCAAGTGATAGTATTTCCAAAAAGTGCACATTTTAAACCTGATCTTTGTTTTCCAACAGTTCAAGGCCTGGCAGGCCTCCTAAGCGTTCTTTGGGAGTGTTACAAGACAACACCCGCCTTTTGCCCCACGCAGTTCCAGGCCTGTTATCACCAGGACTTATCACTCCAACAGGTAATAAACAATCCATCCAATGATAAACCTTGTGTCTTCTTACTCCCTAGAATATTAAGTGAACTAATATTGATCTAACTGCCTTGTCCTTTAAAGCTTTTCAAACTCTGTTAGAGGTTATATTATTGAATTTTTTGAGTATTCATGAAAACAAGTTTTGTTATTTATATGCCTAATTTCAAGTAGTCAAGCTTTTTTTAAAAAGCAATCATATTCTTGCAGGAAATCCATTTAAAATTTCTTTTTGTTATATATGCTTATGTATTTATATGTTGGAGTCTGGGATGGTGGCTTTGGCCAAAATAGAATGGGAATAAGAATCCATACATTTTGTACCAGTTACTACTCTAGGTTAAAAAACTACAAGGAAACTATTAATTAAGATGCATTATAAACCGGTAGCTGGTGGCTCATGCCAGTAATCCTAGCTACTCAGGATGCTGAGATCTGAGGATCGTGGTTCAAAGACAGCTCCGGCAGTTAAATCCATGAGACTCTTATCTCCAATGAACCACTAGATACCCAGAAGTGGCACTGTGGCTCAAATGGTAGAGCGCTAGCCTTGAGCTGAAGAGCTAAGGGACAATGACCAGGCCTAGAGTTCAAGTCCCACTACTGACCAAAAAAGGGGCATTATAATTAGAACAGAAAAAGTGCAGAGTCATTGTCCTGAAACATGTTTTGGTGATTTTCATGGAACATTGCATTAAAATGTTAAAAACCTCAGTCTCATAAATTATTACTATAAGGGCAAAAATACTTGAAGAGTAAGTTTATTACTTCTTGAGTATTTAAATAAAATGAAGTTGGTTATATTGTTGAGAACGAATGCAAAGACTGGGAGACTATTGCATTCACCATAAATAGTATAAGTATTTATAAGCTCCTGGTATATTTGAGTTTTAATTCCTAGGTAGTATAAAACTATATGACCATTGTTCCAATTTACTGGAGGATCAGGAAAAATATAAACTAATAATTTCATTAAATCATGATAGAAATTGTAATTGAAATGGACGTAGTGGTATTAGCTCACAAAGATGGAAGCAACTAAATAAGTTTGGTAGATTGGGTAATAGTTATTCTGAAGACATGGGAAGTAGGAGACTTTTGAGTGTGTGTGAAGGTAGCTTCTTTATGTTTAGCCATTGAAGTCAATCACTACAGTACAGTGGCTTCCTTATTTTAGAACCTTCTCTTGTGGATATTAAATTGTGGAAAGTAATTGAGGCTTCACACTTTTGCCTCAGAGTTTCATATGTTCTGGTTTTCACAGGCTTTTGTTTTGTTAAAAACCTTTTTATAGATAAAAAGAAGTAGTACTAATTGAGTAACTATTCTAAAATCAATTGCTATGGTGGGTAAATTGCAGTGAAAGTAGAGAAGGACAGTCCTTTGGTACTATTCAGGGAACAATGAGCATCTGAATGAATGAAGAAATGAATGAATGGAAAAGAGTTCAAGAGTGTTTTCATAATTAAACATATAAAATTTCTTGAATGTAGATGGAGAGAGGGTGGTTCCAGAATGATTTATGTCTAGCTTGCCTAGTTTGTGTGACAGATGTCTAGTGCAGATGATGGTATTATTACCTGAGATAGACAATTTCAGAATAGACTTAGGCTTTTTGGGGAAAGACAACAAACTGTTGACTTTGTTTACATACAAGTTCTTATTGGAGACAAATGTACCTTGCACTGAGAAATGAATATGGAAAATATAATAATGGCTGAAATGTATCTTGGTGCTATATAAATGATTTTTTTGCCTTCAAAAGTATAATACTAGAGCTTAGGAATACCACCATGTAAATATTCAAATCTGCCTAGGTTTTGAGGGAATAAATGTGTGTAGATGAATGAATAAAATGAATTTTTTATGTTTCCATGGTTCCCATTATGACATTTTCATAAATGTATACAGTGTATTTTTGTCATGTTTGCCCACTCCAGAATGAAAGGAATTAAAAGGTACTTTGATAATTGACACTTGAGTAAACACTGGGAGCTTTTATCTGTTTAGGAAAAAGCTCTAGTATATAGAAATATAAGGGCTTCTATTATGCATCAGGCCTGGGTACCAAGTATTTAGATATACTTGATTCAATCCTCATAGTAATTTTATGGACATTGTCTTCATTATTCAGATAAGCAGTTATGGATGACTGAATTCACATTAATTACTTAAAGATATAAACTTTGTTAAATTATTTTAAATCGTTTAAGAAATCACTTTATTTTTTGTTTTATTAGTTGTGGGTGTTGAACTCTGGGCCTGGGCTCTGTCCCTCAGCAATTCAGCTCAAGGCAAGTGTTCTACCACTTGAGCCACAGTGCGACTTCCAAAAATTAAGTTTTTATCCCAAGCCCTATTTACTTGGCATCCTGTAAAACAAGGAATCTTCCTACTTGAATTTTGAATTCAATTCTGAATTTCCTTTGGGCCTAAAATTAAATTTCCATCTATCCTACAGAATTTAATTCAATTCTGAATTTCCTTCTGTCCTACAATTTAGAATTGCCACTAAGTGTGCTTTTGGGACAAAATGCAAATTTTAATCATTTATTTCTAGAATGGAAATGCAGAGATTGTGAGGTAGCTGAGTGGACAAAGTGATGGGCCTATCTGTTGGAGAAACAGACACAAAGAAAATTTGCCTCCTTCATGTGTATGAATTAATTTCATATGCCTAAAAGTACCTTACTAATAGTCAACTACTGGAAGAAAAATGTGGTGGAAAGACAAGTAGAAACAATCTTATGATTATTTGTTTTTTTGAATTAGATCAACCACTTCTACTCTTCCGTTATCAGACATAATTCAGGTAATATTAGCTCTTATTGTTAATTTGGTATATTTACCTTCTCCTAAAACTGTTACATATCATTTAGAGCTACTTTTGAAGAATTCAGTTGATATTTTTAATGTACTCTGTCAGCAGTCTAGAGTTATCCTTTCTCCCTCTCCCCACCAATGCGTTTTACAATTTTTGATTTCAGGTTCTTTTGTCTTAAAATGATTTTTTGATGCAAGGCATTATACATATCTGTTTATATTTGCATCAATTACAAGTGATTTGTTGATGCCTGTTGCTACATATTTTTTCAGATGTCATGTTTATAGAATAACATGTTTGAACTTTGCTTGATTTGCTTAAACAACAGATTTGGTTTGACATTTGTTTGCATTATTTTTACCTTTATGACATGAAAATGAGTTCTAAAAATGTTATAAAGGAGTGATCACCATGTGCCTTTTCTGGAATAGTGTGTTTTGTTTGTTTGTTTGTTTACCTCCAAATTGATTTTCTCTCAGATTCAAAACAAATACATTAATCAGTGAAAGGAGTTAGAAATAGTTATGAGATTAATATTAGATTTAAGAATAGCCTTATAACTATAGCTTGACATATTAAAATGTAAAGACAGTATATCAGGTAAGTTGAAATTTTCATTTACAAAATATAAAAGTAAGATCTTTTCTGTTTTATCTGATTTCATTTATTTTGTAATTTGTATTTTTCTTTTAATATCAAATGTATTAATTTTCTCTGGAATATCTTTCCTGTATAACAAAATCTTATTCAACCTTAACTAGTATAGAATTTTTGATAATTTGGCTAATGTTATGCTTAGGTGACAAATACTAGTTTATAAAATCCCTTGTTTAAGCAAATGTATCCACAAGAAGTATATATGTATCTGTCTGTGAGATTTTGTTCATTATGTCTGCACATTAAAATACTTACAGGAATTTAGATATCTAAATCATTTCACAAATATATTTTGTAAAACATTCTAAGCATACTAATTACTTATGATTGGTCATTATTCATTAAGAGTAGTCCTAGTATCTATTATTTACAATATTGTCAGATATTAATCTATGTAACTGAAGAAAAAGGGAGTGTCAATATACATATAGATGGAAGTATATATTTAACTATTGTTTAATTTACCAAATAGCTACTGTAAGCCAAACAATGCAATAAAATATAATACTAGGACAAAGTTAATTTTGTGAGTCAGAATTTTTCAAATTGCCCCAGATTTTTTAAGATTATTTCCAATTGCTCATGTTTGGCTACACTTCCTTTTTATATAATAGGGCTATCAATATTCTCATTGTATAATTAATACTCAATTCCCTAACAGAACATCAATACACACAATTTTTTTCTTTCCTTTTTTTTGTCTGTCATGGGGCCTGAACTCAGGGCCTGGGTACTGTTCCTGAGCTCTTTTGTTCAAGGCTTGTACTCTACCACTGAGCCACAACACCACTTCTGGTTTTCTGGTGGTTACTTGGAGATAAGAATCTCACAAAATTTCCTGCCTGGGGTGGCTTTGAACCATGATCCTCAGATCTCAGCCCCCTGAATAGCTGGGTTTACAGGCATTGAGATACATACCGCTGGCCACAAATTTTATATTTTAATATTTGCTGTGAAATTTTTGTTGGCTAATGGACAAAACACCCATGTATTACTCCCATCTTTCTGTAGAAGAGCTATATGCCCTTACATCATACAGAAGGGATGGATTTGTCCTGTGTATCTTCTAAATTTCCCCTTTCCTTAGCTGATGGAACATTTCAAATGGACATGGAATCTGGCTTAAGAGAAACTTAAACTCGCTGCTTACAAGAAAGTCAGATAAAATTCCTATCTTTTTTCCATTTCTTTAAAAGGTAGTGGGTTTTTCAACTGTTATTCTTTTCTTCTTGCTATGTTGTGGCAAAATACTTTAAGAATGTCTTCTACCATCCAACCTTCAGATAACTGAGCTCATGAAGATTCAATCCAGTTAGAATAAATACAGTGTTCCACTCAGGAATCATAGGGTCACAAGAATTATGCCTAATTTTGGTGTTGTGATGTCCCACTCATGGTATAACAATGGTAACTATTCTGAATGTATCATTGGAATAAGTATCCCCTCTTTTTATGATGTATTTCATTTCTCACTCATTTTAATTTGGATGGTAAGAATTGCTCAGAA